TCATGAGCAGGATGTGACTGATTTTTCTTCAAAATTTTTTTTGCTCGATTTGGCCAAAAGTGGAGAAATAGGCATTTTCAAACGTATGCTGTGATTGCACGATGTACTACAAATAAGGGAAACACAGTTTCTGTAATCTCAGTCAGTATTGCCACTTGAGCGTATTTCGCGCTACGTAAGCATCTAACTGTGGACAGTATCCACTTTAGACAGCACCTCAGTATGCAAGAAGCTTACCTTCTCAAGTTCTCCACATATTCTGCGCAAATCACCGGAAAAGCTCGGATCCAGAAGTGCACGTTTCTTAGCTATCTAAAAATAGAAATATTTGACCAAATTCCAAATTTATGCAATCATTAACCAAATAGAATTTTTGCAGATTTCAATATATTCAGTTTGATGCATAAATGCAAGCTGTAGAGAATAAAAATTTGTTTTCGACATATTTAGCTTCCAAAACTCAACAATAACGCTATTTTGCACTAACCCCTTTTCCCTTTAGAAAAAAGGACATACCATTTGTATTGTTTACGTGGTGAAACTGCACAACACACTAATTCCATAGAACAACTTTAAGTTGAGGAATGGGTGTTACTAGGGGCTGTAGTCTAGACTAGTGTGTGGGCTGCAGTTACATAACCTACACAGAAATCGACTTGGCGGCATACCTCAACCATTATCTGTCCATAATTACTGAAAAATGATATCGCACTCATTAGCCTCCTACTGGGCATTACACCTCGGTCTCGTATGAATTCCAAATGTTGCTTTGGTAACAGAGATGGATCCTAAGTGGGATAAATTGTTGGCGAGATATCTTACTCGTCAAAAAAGTTACCATTTTCTTATTGTAGACAGCGATGCGAAGAAATAGAGCGAAAGCGGAGTTGTGTAGACGACTAGCAGCCATTGCTGCAGGAGCGTCCCAACAGAAGACCAACCGATACTCATCAATTTCAAAGCGTCTTAAAGATAAACTGGTTTTCTAAACCTCTTTAATCAGAAAGAGTTTAATAAATTTCAGAAAAAAAATTTTCAATGTGCTATGCTTAGCAGTTAAAGAAAATTTTAGAAAAAAATGTCAAAAAGCTCGTTTGGATGAAGATTAGAATAAAATCCAAATAGATGGAATTCAGAATATCAAT